TCTAATTTTTTTGTGTCATTAATAGGATGTAAAATAGCCATTCGTTTTTCGTATATTTTCCGTGCATTCTGAAATTCTGCTGGCTTTTCAGGCCAGTACCCCTGGCATCGACCGCCTTCTTCACTCTCTCGAGCACCTCGTCGGCAGTCTCCTGATTGCGTTCGAGGGTGACCGCCATCGAGTGAAGTGCCGGTCGACGCTCGGGCTTGGCTGCTGCGACGCTAGCCTAAGTCCTAGGTTCGCATGGTTGCTTACTTTTTGCGACCTCAGTCACTGTTTCTTTGACCGCCGCGATATCCCCCGCAATACTTTCGAGTTTCTCATCGAAAATAATCTGGGAGCGATGAGCGATCCTGACGCCCTCTGTCGTATGGTCAATGGCCGCTTTAGCGTCGTCGATTTTTTCGCCAATCTTGCGGACGATGTCATCGTCTTGGAACCTGATATGGTCGTCGAAGCGAGCTAGCATTCTCTTCTCCAGTTCGTTCAGTCGCTGTTGTACCTGATTCTCCACTTCGCCCAACTTTTCTAAGCTGTGAAAGTCTTTTTCGGGCGATCTGGCTGAACGGGGCGACCGTGTTTTGGTTGCTGCTGCTTCCAAACTTGTCACTCGCTTGCTTATTTCAAATAAAATACGGAGGCACTTATCGGACTGCCCCTCCAGGAAGGTCTTTATGTCTTTCCTCATTTGAGGGTATTCTTGGACTTTACATGGAATGTCCTCAAAGGTCTTCATCACCTCCTGGAGGAGCGCGTCACTCGGTTTCACCGCGTAGTCCTCTATATGCTTATTATAAATCGCCATATTGTCCAGCGATCTCCTTTTCCGGTCTGGTCTCCGGATAAAAGTTTTTGCAGCGTCCTGCGCTGGTGCAGGTGGAGTTGAAGTGGGCCACTATTTTATTACCAATAGTGGCGTTTGCGACCACATACACAACAAAGTATTGATAGAAAGCGAGAGTGGAATACCAAGGGATGTTAAGGAATTAATAAATGAGGAACAGTCATTTAAGGAGCATGTAACGGTAAGCGTTACACTAACCGTTAGCCACAGTGGAGAGTACAAGTTCTCAGAATGGCGCCTTTAAATAAAAAGAATGAAGTGCAGTCACAACAATAAATATATTAAACTAAAGCACATAAATACAAAATAAAAGAAAATAACTATATAAAAAAAGAACACTTAAAATACTTACCTAGATTGTTCAAAAGGTTAACACAATTACAAAATTAAAGAGGGTAAATCGCCTGATAGTTGTGCATCGAAATATTACAGTTAAAGAATGACACGTATCTTTTAAATTATGGTGATTAAGAAGACTAGGATCCTGGGGTCTATCAATGATACTCTAGTTCTTTGGCGTCAGTTGAAAAGTATTAGGATCAGAATTTGATTCCGCGAAGTTACGGGACGTTCCACGGAGCGTATTCCAATTAAAATAAAAAAGTCTCGCTTGACGGGACTATTGGAACCCTATAATGCATTAATTATTCATAGTAAGTAACAAGAAACATTACAGCTTGAACATATGAAGAATTAAAGTCTTACCGATATCACAAATCAGGCACTAATAATTAACTTGAATGTGTAATATTTGTATACAGTTAACTATGAGTTTGTTCTCATGACCTTTCCTTCAACTATATGGCGCGGCTTCTGAATGAGTGGTTATAGCGGTAGCACGCCCTTTTATACAAGTGCGAACAAACGATGTCCCGATGCAGCGCGTTCGCATGCGCGGGCCGCTAGTATCAGAGCTCTATCTCAATGCAGAGCACGCCAATTCACGGGTCGCTTTAAAACTATGCAACTAACATTAAGGTGTTACAAAGCACGCGAAAAAAATATGACTTAAATTGCCAACATCAGCGCCGCAATCACACATATTGTTATTTATTGACTATACCCAATCCAGCCAAATAAGATGGAGTGCAAACTTGACCCAGTCTCATCCGGATTATGATAGTAGTATAACGTGTCTGTGTCTGAGGATGTCCCTGGTATGCTGATGTTACATGAGGCCGAGTCACGTCACTCCCCAAAAGGTGGTCTATGGGTCGAGAGACACGGGGCAGAGTCGCACCACTTCTAGACACGTCACCACCGGTAGACAACCGGTGAACAGGAGACTCTGTGAGGAGGATCTCAGGGCGCCACCACTTACCGTTCTGGGAGACTCACGCCAATAAATAACAACAATTACAATATAACACTTGTGTTTATTCACTACAAATAACACAGATACATTAGTTATAATAGTTCACAAAGATTTATTTAGTGGTAAGGTACTATGTTACATGTGTGTCGGTAGGTATACCGAACACACGAGAAAGTAATCAATGAAAATGAGATTAAAATTAAAATACTATAACCAATGACGGTTTCACCAGTTTAGTTCACAAATGGACGATGAAAGTTCACCGGATTTCTTCCCAGCAACTGGGGTTGCTGGATCCGAGCCAGGTTGTGTATGCAGGTGTGTTCTTGGTCTACTGTAGTCAAGTACTCTTTCTAGGATCGCCTAGCCAGAGCATCTCGCTTCCGGCAGCGTCCACGCAGAAAGGTACTGCGGGATCTCGAAGGTGGTCTAAAGGTCACACTCCGCACCCTAACTGATGTGCATATAATGTACCAGTTATTAGGACCTACACGATAAGACAAAGTGGTGTTAACTTCTAATTAGTTAAAGTTTGTGGACACAGTGTGGAGAATAAATTATGAAACACTTACCCTGGTTTAATATAAGACACCAAGGAACTATTTAATTGACTCTGGTAAATGCGTAAGAATACTTTCACCTCGCAGCTCGAGAGATATTGATAGAAAAAGGACTTGGACAAAGTGACTTGTCCTTTTATATGAATAGTCTTACGGTTCTCGAAGATTCCGCCTATAGTGCTGTGCTAATCTCACCTTCAAACCACAGACAAGATAGCACAGTCACGCCATACAGCGTCGAGTGAGAGAACTAAGCAGTTTCATAATCATATTATTTCCCCACACTGCGCCACGTATACGCTAGATGGGGTTAATTTCTAAAAAAAATTAAATTCAATTTTTCTAACGTTACAATAGTTGTGATCTTACTAAATCTAAAACTGTAATACCAAGGCTTGGTAGAAATGAAAGTTCGAATTTGAGCATAATTCTTTCCTTTATTTTGACTAGAAATAGCCCATGTTTGTCCCCAAGATTCGCGCAGATCTGAATTTGGAAGACACAAAAGATCATTTATGTAGTTTTACTATGGATAAATATCTCCACAATCCACGGCATCATTGGCAAGTTTACAGCATCATTGACAGCAAGTTCGTTGCCAGAAATACCTATGTACGGTTTGCACATATCTAACTAATACGTGGACACGCCGTGCGTCGTCATTGTGGTGTCAGGTTATTTTATTATATTCTTAGAGCAGTGCACTTAGCAACACGCACTCGTTAAGACGTTACCATCTGTGCTTAACCAACATAATAAAGGTGCTCAAACAACATACTTAGTTTACTCTTCGGAACTCAACAAAACTTTCCCTTGGACCCCAACAACCTACGTGACTAGGAATCCAGGCAAAAATTACATCGAATCCTTTAAATCTGAAATCCTTGAATCCTTGATGAATGCATCTGAAATCACTCTAAGTGAGCTGCATTCACTTCATGTTGTCATAAGGGTAAAGCAATATTACCATCCTTAAGTCAAAATGAATATTTTAAATCATTGTGCAATAGACTTATTTGAAATTAACCTTCAATAAAAAGGGAAGTTGTTCAGGCCAGTGCCTCCAATTATTTTAATAGCAATGTCAAAGATGCTAGCCTTCTATGGCGCTAAGCATCACAGTTTAATAACTTAATGTATTTCACTATCATTCGTCCATTCACTACCCGCTCTTCAAGCACGCTATACATCTCCATTTAAATATATAAGAATAATATCAAGTGCTGGAGTTTTATTACCACAAGAAACTCCCTTATGTACCACAAGCCGGTACATAAATTGGTGGTCCATGAGGGGAACGAAGCCGCGACAAATTAACGAAGAAATCACGGGACACCCTTGGTTGTCAAGAAGATTGGAATTTTGAAGATTTTCGTTGGAGACTCAGAGGAGACTCAACGAGCCAACTTATCAGGACTTCAGTGGTCAGTGGATTAGCTAAAGGTTCACGCCGGGAGCTGCGGTCTGCGAAAAGATAAGTGCCCTTTCCTTGCCAACCTACCCTCATTAATTGATGTAATGAGATGTACAGCGTGCTTGATCAACGGGTGGTGGCCCATGAGAGGAACGAAGCCGCACAAATTAAAGAAGAAATCACGGGACTCCCCTTGGTTGTCAAGGGCATTGGAATTTTGAGGATTTTCGTTGGAGACTCAGAGGAGACTCAAGGAGCCAACTTATCAGGACTTCAGTGGTCAGTGGATCAGCTAAAGGTTCACGCCGGGAGCTGCGGTCTGCGAAAAGATGAAATTGTGGCATTATTCTGCCACGGCTACCTGAGTGCGGACCTATCAGGTGATGCGTGCGCGCGCCAATTAGGAGCTAACGCGTGGCCGCGTTATCGCAAGTAACGCCGGGCTGCTGCGCCGGCAGTCCGCCACAAAGCCTCGTACTAATCGCGCGTTTCTCTCACTATTGTAATTTCACATATTTGTTAGTCGTTTGTTTTGTGTCTCGTTAATTTGTTAATAATCTATAGTGTTTCGTGTTGTCGTAATATACAACTATTTTCCGTATTGTTTTATTTAATATACCGACATCGTTTCTGCTTGTGGCCGGACGCCGTTCGGGTTCGATTCCTGAACGTGTTGAGTCTGCGCTTATATGAGCGTGTGTGATATTATGCAGGGTGATAATTATTAATAAGACACGACAGTTTGCAACCTGTTTATTGGGCGACGACTCGACACAGACTGTCTCAGCTAAGTCGCTACATCACTCCCCCCTTAAAAATAAGACATAAAATAACAAATTTATTACAAAAAATAAGAGTAAAATGTAAAAAAGTATATAAGACAATGTAAAAAAAAAATAGTGTAAAAATCATAACTTTGTAACATTATTCATTGATTAACAAATAAGAAATACAAAATAAAAGCAATCCTATTTAAAAACATTTTTAAACTTCTAGTCATTTGTAGCACTATTTCACAAAATTTCCAACTTAGTGGCTGGTTTTGCAACGCTGCCTGGTTCTTGGGGTCGCCAAACGCTCAACCTCATGTTCGCGCTCTGCGCTCGGTTCGGGATATCCGTAATTTGCTTCGTGAACCATTTTTTTACACTCTACCGGCATCCTCTGTACAGGATACAGAACATGACTATTTCTACAAGGATAATACCTGTTATCCCCACCAGAGCAGTTGTATCTGTCGTAGTAACGCCACCTTGGTTTACTAAAACTTCCTCTTTTGATGACTGGTTACCCATTTTAATTTATTAATTTATAGAACGTGTTATTTATTTGCCTTATGAATTTAGAATGTCTACAATTTAGTAAATTATTATAATTAATTTATTGCGAAATACTTTGTACTGTGCAAAAGATATCGTTTTTCTATTCACCTACTTATGCCCGGTTCCAAAAAATAACGAATCGTCATTGTATTATAACAACTAATCGTAATCATGCTACCAATACGTAGGCGTATATTAGCGTTCCACAACTATTTTACTTGCCGCGTTACCTACGAGCATCCGTTGGCGCGCTGCTTACTAACGAATCCCTCTGCGTTTCGTTAATGCAAATGATTGTGTCACAAAGATCCTTTAAAAATAAAAACTCTTTTCAAAATACATAAGTTTTTATTAGTATTTTTACATAAATATTTTAAAATAATATAAATTAATTGTAATTCATCACATGTGTAATTTTATTTGAACATTCACAATTTAAAAACAGTTACTTTAGTTTTAACTGTAATGTGAACAAAACGCCATGAAGAGACAAAGGAAACGCCAGATGTCGGCCGGACCGCGCCAAAATACCAAAAAAATTGTGTTAGCGTCGTACTTTGTTGTTCGTTTATTTCATTACAAACTGATAAATTATCACTAACGTACCTTATTTTAGTGTCCACTATCTAGTTTATAATATTGTTAAATAATTTTTAGCTTAAACTTACATAAAACTGCTAAAAATGGAAGTGTTTCCGGTAAGTTATCCGTGTTCAAATATTGTGGATTAAATGTTTTCTAATCGTGTAAAAAAGAACCTACCAATTTCTTGGATGGAAAGGATGAAGTTGCATGTCTCATAGAGATAATAGAAGGCAGTCCTATAATTACGAGCAAGGAAACCAACGCCACTACCAACAGACTCAAAAAGAAGCATGGGTGGCCCTTACGGCTGCCTACAATGCCAAGTGTGGCTCCTTCCCCAAGCAGAAGGAACAGCTCAAATTAAAATGGGACAATTTGAAAAAGATGGCCCGAAAGAGAGCACAAAAAGTACGAATGAATAGTCTAAAGGTAATCATTATTATTTTTCGAAGTACAGGTTTTATGCCTTAATTTAATATACATTATAATGCAGAAATTACAATAAATAATATGTATAATTTTTATTTTATACAGACTGGTGGTGGAAAACCTGACTTCATCCCACCAGATGAATTGTTAGAAAAAGTAACATCTCTTTTGGGGTCGACCTGCACTGGGTTCGATGTCCCTTTTGGTGGTGACGGATTAGGCGTTGGTATGGTGCTGGAATTGGAAGTCGGTGGGCTTGAACTTCAGAACCAGTCGGATCATTGTGAACCCGAAACTGAAGGGAATGTGGTTCTGTGTCCAAGTCCAAAAAGAGGTAACATTAATTAATTATTAATATGGATTTTTGATGCTTTATTTATATAATATATTAATTCTTTTTATGAATAATATATTTTCAGACAATAAAACAAAGCACCATGTGAGGTGCAATTAGAAGACCAAAGATCATTTACACCAAAAAAATTTTTCGGAATGCAGAGCATGTCTAAATGCTTGCAAACCAAAGGTACCTATATATTAAGTAAAAATTATAATAATAATAAATACTTATTGCAGTACTGAGACAATTCAACATTTCTCTTCATGTGTTCTTATCTAAATTACTTTTTCAATTCCAGCAAGGAAGAAAAAAGACGCAAGAGATGATGGGCGCCTTGAACTAAATCTTGCTATGGCCAAATATTATGAGAAGGCTGAAAAATTAGATTTAGAAATTCAGCTGTTAAAGAAAGAAATTTCAGACAAAGATAACAATAGTGCTTAAAAAGTACTTAGAACTAGCAACTGAAATTCTAAATTTAATTTTTTAGCCTTATTTTAATATTAACCATATCCATTTTTTATATTAACTAGTTTTTTTACCCTTTAGTGCCATGTTATTAGGAATTAGGATAAGTTTATGACAATTTTTTTTTTAAATTGTTAAAATAAGCCAAAGATAAAAATTGTATTTTCTTTTTGTATTTTATAAAATTGTATTTGTATTTAAAAAAGATAAAAATTGTATTTTCAATTTATTTTATTTTATTTACTAATTTTAAATACCTACCTAGTTTGTTTTAAAATACTAGTTATAATTATAGACAGATCAGCATATCATGGCACATTAGGTGCATAGTAGTAACTATCGCCTATTTACTCAAAAGCATCAGCGCTTATCAAAAGACCTGCCATTTTGCCCTATAAACCAGAAGAAAGTATTTATTACTGTTACATAAAAATATGGTGGTATTGTGGCGATTTATATTTTAGGGGTAGAGCAATGAATGTGCATACCAGGATTAAATCACACGACATAAAACCTTCACATTTCCCTTTAATCAAAATTTCCTTTAGGTATATCAATATACAATATAACCTACTATTAATAACTGATAATTATTATAAACCTACCTAAGGGTCGGAAATAATTTTTACATCTTGCACACACACATCATGGTCAGACCTTTATGATAGGTTAACATCAATCTCCCTGACATTACATTAGGATCAGAAGGATGACTACAACAGGAAGACTATAACTAACGTCTATTTCGTTATTGTTTAAACTGTACAATACCAAGCAAAAAATGCAGTAACAGCCTATAATGCATGTCCTTCCTAACTTTAAGCAAATCAGTTAAATCTTATGTGTAGGTACTTAAACATATTTAGTAATTTCAGACCATACAACTTGTAAGCAAACTTAATTGTAGATACTGTTCTGAAGAGTTCAATCCTCATAAACTGAAATAAAAAAAAATTAAGAATAAGTAAGTGCACAGGTACGAAGTATTTTATAAATTAAAGTAGTAATATAACAAAATAATAACTTATGGAAATATTCTGCAATCAAATTAGCTCTTTCTGTACTAAAAGTTTCCTCAGTGCTACTTTCTGTAGGCCTGCCTCAGGAATTTCTACTTCTGGTGATATATCATCAAGCTTCTTCAGTCGACAAATGTTGTGGAGTACAGCTGTAGCTATAATCACTGCATTGGCTCTTAGAAGGCTCAGGCGCAATTTTAAGGCTACAACAGGGAATCTTCGTTTCAACACCAAAATATCTAAAATTAAAAATTAGTTAATTTTTTTTAGTTTGAAAGTACTTGATTATAAGTTTAAAAGATTTTATTATCAAAATCAAATTATCAAGAGTTACCTTTCAATGCAGTTTCTTGTTCGAATATGGGCTTCATTATAAAGCTGTTGGCCCCGTGTCTGTGTGTTAATTAGTGGCGTTAATAAATATGGCTTCAAGGGATAAGCACTATCTCCAAGTAACCACTTATTTCCAAATGAGCCATTTTCACGGTGAGCTAAATTGAAGAGAAAAATTAATTATAATTAATATTAAAAGAAATTAAGTACTAATGAATACTGATTATCATTAGGTACCTATTATATGGGCACCTACCTCGCAAGTCTGAATTATTAAATATTGTGGCATCATGAGCTGAACCTGGCCAACGAGCCACCACATTCATAAATAATAAATCTGCATTGCACATAGCTTGGACATTAAGGGAAAAGTAACCTTTTCGGTTTCTAAATTCTTCTCCAATCTGAGAACCTAAAATAGAAGTATTGAGTATTTAGTTTAGGATAGCTTTAGTTGGTTCCTTAGTATAGCACATAATTAAGTACTTACATGGTGACTGAATCCTAATGTGTGTACCATCAAGTGCACCAAGGACACCTGGGAATCTTGAAACAGCATAAAAGTCTTGTTCGGTATCGGAATGCATGTAGATGTACTTGCTATATAGCTGTGCTATAGCATTACTGACGTCGCGAACAGTACGACATGCTGATGCTTTCGAAACACCTATAAAGTCTGCTACTGATAGTAGCATAGTTCCTAAGGCATAGAAACTTAAAGTTAATAGCAGTTGATGTAAGGGAGATATTCCATGATTCCTAGAATTAAAATAAACTAGTAAATACTATTTTCATGTAATCACGTGTTAAATAGTTAACTACTTCATAAAATACCAATTAACAGCTGGCATTAAAAATACGAACCTGGTTCCTTTTGCCTTTAAAAAAGGATAAATTTCACCTAACAGTAATTGCACAGACTGCTTGTCGAGCCGAAATCTTAGTTGAAACTCCTGATTATCGAGCTCTGAATAATAATTGATTCTTGTTTAATACACTCTATTACTTCGCGTATCATCACTTGAATCGTCGCTTGAATTCAGTAACATTAAAACTTCGTTATCACTTTCTGAACTCGACACTTTAAAAGAAAAAACACAAACACAAAAATTCCAAAGCACAACCGAACAAAATCGGTAGGTTATAAAATGCTCTACGCGTGGTAGTTTTGACAGCTCACTGACATTTCTAAAATAATACAGGAACACTACAGACAACAGTCTCCATACAAAACGCAGTACGAACCGTTATGTTAGCCCTCCCATCCGTTAGTAGCAAATCATCAGTAATTTAAAAAACGAGTCGTTTTTATAGGAACTATTTTGTCCTACGATTCGTAGATATTGTACCGGATCGTAATATAAAACGATTCGTTTTTTGGATATTGGAACCCTCCGTTAATCAGCGAAACGTACCGGTGGTTTCACAATACGACCACTACGTGTAACACGGTAATTAGCTGAGCGATTTTGATCGCTATTCTCGGAGGTTCCGATAGGTTCCTTGTTGTGGTCACTTATTTTAAGTCTATCCGTTGATAAGTTATTTTTAATAACCAAATTATTTTCTGCCTCTGCCGTATACATATAAGCGGGTTTCAACCTGTCTACTGATATATACGCATCTCGGTTAGGAAATTGCACTAAAAATACTTTATCTGTTCTATTTAGGACTTTATAAGGTCCTTCATAGGGAGGTTCTAACGATTTTTTAACTATATCTGAACGAACAAAAACCTGAGTACAGTTATTCAAATCGCTATGTACAAACACTGTATGAGCATCCTTACGCGGTAGCGGTTTAGGTTTCAAATTATATATCATAGCGCGCAAATGCTTTACGTATTGACAATGATCTAATATAGGTATAATACTATCATTATAAAAATCTCCCGCTAAACGCAATGTTTGCCTGTAGGTCATTTCGGCGGCACTGACGCCTGAGTCGGTCCGCGGTGCTGCACGAAGTCCTAGCAAAACAATAGGTAATTCNGTTATTATATATATGCATTTATGACTATTCATTTAATTTTTTCTGTTTCCTTCGCCTGGTTAATTGATTTCATTGTATTGTATGTAAATAGGATTTTTCTTTTGGCGTCCATTCTTCGGGCTCCAACGAAAACCCTGGCGGGACATATCTCCAGGTGTCTCATGTAGTCACAATCGATGCGTCGGGAATGGAAACGGAAAGTTTAATTATAGAAACAGATTGTTCGGAAAGCATGAAATCGGTTAAAAGAAAGAGAATCTCAGCTAAAATCCAAAAGAAGAGACGGAATCATAGACATAAGAGTCTATCAGATTGCCAACTTTCCCTTAATGATTTAAAGCATAATTTTATTTCTAAAGTGCTTGAGCTTGATGATAAAAACACTGTAAATCCACCATAATGAGGCTGCTCACTCTAACAATATTACAAGTAACCCTCGCGCTGCTAGGTCGCTTTACCAGGCGTCAGACCTTGCGCCTTATGTTGTCCGTGTTCAAAAAATCTTACAACCAAATCAAACCGGATCTATTCACCCAGTACAATTTAGATTTTTCCTTAAAAAAAGTTTAATAAAAAGCATTGTAGAGGGAAGCATCAAAAAGTTGGAAGGAACAGGTTGTCTTTACAATTTGAAACATTTCAGGATGCTAACACGTTTCTAAATGCAAAACTCTTGATGTTAATAAATACAAAGCATTTATTCCGGCCATCACTATCACCCGCATGGGAATAGTGAGAGGTGTTCAATGTGATTGGGACGACAAAGATATTATGGAAAATATTGAGCTTCCGCACAACTGTGGAAGCATTTTGAAAGTTCGGAGATTAAACAGAAAGGTATATGACGGCGAGACGCCCAAAGTTCATTCCAACTGAGACCTTAGTTCTAACCTTTGATGGGAAAGTGTTACCTCCCAGGGTCTTTATATGTTTCTGATAAAAATATTATTTATTCTGTTTATCATCACTACATAATATAAAACAAAGTCGCTTTCTCTGCCCCTATATCTCTATGTATACTTAAATCTTTAACACTACGCAACGGATTTTGATGCGTTTTTTTAAATAGATAGAGTGATTGAAGAGGAAGGTTTTGTATTAATAATAACATCCATTAAATAGTGGAGAAATACTGTTATTTTTGAGGTTTCTAATGTGATGTCGTAAATAATTACATTTTTTTACTTAAATATATTTCACATAATTCACATTGCAAACGCAGGTTGAACCCTACGAGATATATCAAAATATAATAAAGTACTAAGTATTACATTGTAAGTAAGTACACATAAGTAAGACATTGAAAAGGTCTTCAGAAAACTCCGCGATGGTATATGTCTATCTGTTATGGATATCCCACAATACCATTTTTTGAAATTTACGACTGCTGTATTGGTTAAAATCGCTTCGAAAGTTATCCTTATCCAATTAATTAAATACATTGTGGATTTAATATCGATCTGTATGGCATTGGGGAAGGCCTATGTCCAGCAGTGGGCAGATAAAGGCTGATGATGATAATGATGAATGATATGGCCCTTTACAGCATATGTTTTAAATGAATATTTTCGAAGATATTACAGATTTGAAAATGCGGGACGTAGTGTTTGCGGCGGTACCGGCCGGCGGGTGCGGCGGGAGCGTGCCTATAAATAGCACGTCGGAGGCCGTTGTTCACCCCGGTCACCGTCCTCGTCGAACCCGTCGCTTGCGACGAAGGGCTCGACGAGCGAACTAACCCATAGACACAGCCCACTGAGTTTCTCGCCGGATCTTCTCAGTGGGTCGCGTTTCCGATCC